TAATCTTATTTAAAACAATAGTTGTCAAAAGCTATAATAAAAAGGCTGTAAAAGAGATGTGAAATATAATATTGGTAATAACTAATAAATAAGCAACAAAATTGCAATATGTTATTGAAAAGCTATCCGAATTTTTAGGAATCATATTTGAACAAAATAGAATAATGAATCTCCAAGTGTTTAAAAAGTTAAATATAAATTTGATTAGATTTTTGATTCTTTTTTCTTTACCTTCTTTGATAAAATAATATAAAGAAAATAGCGAATAATAAAAACATAACTAAAAAAAAATTAATTAATTGCATAAATTTCCTATATTTAACCAATTCTTAATAATATATATGTACTGCTGTTCCTATTCCAAACAAAAAACTTGTCCAAATTAAATCAAAAAATGGAGGTAATTCCATCTTTAGCTTTTTCAGATGTGACCTTTTTTTTTTTTATAGAAATACTCAATTATTTGAGTTTTTTTTTTAATTGTTTTATTATTTATTTTTAAATCATAATATCAAAAATGGCATTATATTGGTTTGAGTTGTATATATTTAAATCAAATTATTTAGAATATAATTAATATAAAATGGGAAGTTTTGCTAAAAAAATTATTTTAATTATAAATAATCTCCTTTTAGTAAATAGAATTGTATTCAAGATCAAACAAATTGTATAATACTAATATAAGGTGTAAAATTTAATTATATTCAAATCACTTGTGATACCTTCTTGGTTTTACTCAATATTCCTTAATAAATTCATAAAAAATTGCAAAAGTTACCTGAAATTTTTAATTATTTTTTAAATTATAGCAATTTATAATATTTTTAAATTTACCGATTTTCTTATTCTTGTAACAATTTTTTTGATTGCTTATGTTTGCCAATTTTATTACAAATATTTTACACGTTCAAATAAATTACCCGGACTATTGCCTCTTCCTTTTATAGAATGTAGTTATTTGTTAACCGAAAATAACAAACAACTGTTAATATCACTCCAAGAAAAATATGGAAACATTTGTGAATTTTATCTTACCAGATCACGAAAAATTGTAATTTTGCGCCCTGACTATATCGAAAAAATTTTAACACCTTCATCTAGAGACACAACATTCATGCTGAGATTTCATATTTTGAAGGACTCGAAGAGCTTGGAGTGTCTGGAAAAGGCATAATTTCAAATCATAAAATAAACAGTTGGAGATTTAACCGTAAATTCTTTGACAATGCTGTTCTAAAACCAAGTTTTATTAGTGAAGCCATAGAAAGGTCTAATATATTAACTAATGAGCTAGAAGAATATTAAAAATATGTTGGAAAATTAAACATATCAAGTTATGAACGGTCACTTGAAACTGATATAACAAAATAAGCTCTTAGATTTGCTTGTAACATGATTACAATAGTAGTCACCGGAGAAAGATCTTATTCGATAGCTTCCTATTATAATATTCTAAGCAACAAAAAGTAAAAAAACTCAAATACAGCGATTGAAGATTCTGAAAGATTTATTCAAGAAATCAAAAATCACCTTTCTGGCTTTACTTACTTTCTATATTTTAGCCTATTTTTATGTCATCATATTCCATTCATCAAAGACCAAGTTAAAGCAACACTTAAAAATTGGGATTACTTATTTAAAATATTAGATTTAATTATTAAGAAAAGAAGAAAAGAAATTGAAGAAATTCCAGTAGGAGATTAATTAAGGAATGATATGTTGATATCTTTAATTGTTACTAATATAGTAAGTGATATAAATCGTACAAATATTGGTAGAGATGATATATCTAGACCAATGACAGATGATGAAATAAGAGCTAATTTACTTGACTTTTTCCAAGGTGGAATTGACACTGTAAGTAACTAATAATATTTAAATAATTAATAATTTTTATTAATCTTTTATGTTAATAATTTCTAGACAGCGAATACATTCAGTTTTATAGTCTATTATGTTTGTAAATATTATTATGTTAAAAAAAAATAATTAATGAAATTGACTCAATATTCCTCTCAAAAACTTCTTTACATCTGAACTATGATGATCTCTTAAAATTGGAATATTGTGATGCGATTATTAATGAGGTTAGCTGACTTCATCCAATTGTAATTGAACTCCAAAGATATGTTAATAATCCTTGTGAAATAGCTAGACATCGATTTGAAACTAGAACAGTGATCCATATAAATACTAATGGAATTCACACACATAAAGATTATTGGACCAACTCTGAAATTTTTGATCCAAATCGATTTTATAAAAATAAAAAGAATTTGAATAATAAAGTAAAGAATAAATTTTCATTATTAACATTTGGTGGAGGTTTATGTATCTGTCCAGGAAGAAGATTAGCAATAATTGAATTACTTTCTTTAATGGTAATATTATTTAAAAAATATGATATTGAGTTAGTTGATATGAATGCTCTATTAAAGGTAAAAGTAAGGCAACAACTACTTGTGGAGAGTTGCCAATTAAAATTAAACTTAGAAAATAGCTTATTTTTTTTTGTTACTGTCTTATTTTTGACTTATTTTTATTCTCGGATGTAAATTTTAAAAAAAAATTATTATTAAATTAAATTTAAAGTCTACTAATAGACTTTGAATATTAAAGCAATACTGTTTTTCAGGTTTCAGGTTTCTTTTAATTTGGGAAGATTAAATTAATTTAAATTCTATGTTAAAAATTTTTGTTAAAATTGATCGAAGGCATACATAATTTTTATTAAATTCATTCAACTTGAAATCAATTGTACTTACATGCCTTTCTTACTTATTCAACTGAAAATAATCTATTTTAATTCTGAGTAGCTCTTTTTTAAATCAAAATATTATTTTTTTTACTGAATCAATTATATGTTTTTAACCTATTTTAACTTATAAAGTTGCAAGAAAACTTCATCACCTTCAAAAATAAAAAAAAAAATAAAAATAAAAAATATATAACTCAAACCTTTAAAAAAAAACTTATTAGCTAACCAAATTTACAAAATGAATCCATCTATTATTTCAATTAACAAATGTTCTGCCATCAATGAACTTGGTGTTTCTGTTACTGAAGACTCCTATGGTAGAAGTGCAGTCAACCAATATTCTATTATGTAACTATAATATCAAGATCTTTCATTTGCAAGTATAAATACAAGATTACTTGTGAATTTTCACAGTTAAATAGTATCTAAAATTTGTTTCATTTAAAAAGTAGTCCAAAATCTTCGTTTAAAGAGAATAATGGTGCATTTACTTTAGTATTTTTTTTCAAAAAAAATTTGGTAGTGGTAGTTATATTCAGTCATTCACATGACTACATTAATCTGATCTATAAGATTAATTATTTTTACAACAAATAAAATTCTCAATTATTAGAATTTAATATTATTTCTACAGAATCAAAAATTTTAAATGATTTTATAAAATTATAATACAATAATTAATAGAAAATTAAACCCCTAAAATTAAACATAGAAAAAAATTGAAATTCTAATTTAACAAAATCTAGTTCTATATTTAACAATACATTCATTAATATAATAACATGGAGTTTTTTATAAAAATTTAATTGGGATTTATAAAATCTTTCTTTCACCTAGAGTTTATTATTACAAAGGACTTTGTCTAATGAATTTCAATAATTTTGTTTCGATTGAAGAATCTTGTATTTTATCTAATATTGAGTTTAATAATGGAATGACTATTTTTATTCTAGTAGGCTATTCTCCAATTCTTATTTGTAAAAATGATATGAAAAAATTAAAAACAATCATTGAAATTCCAGAACTAAATATACGTGTTCCAGCATTGATCCTTAATGATATTAAATGTCCACAAAACACTTTTTTATTATTTAGAAATGAAGTAAAGGATAAAATAAAATATGAATTAATCAAAGATAATCCAAATATACGCGTTGACAATCGTCAAATTTCAAAAATTGCTGGGAAAAATGGAAAATACTAACAGAACTTGAAAAAGCACTGTATAAGTTAAAATCTAAAAATCAAAGAATGAAATACAAATCCAAAAATTTAAAATACAAATATAAAACAAGAAAACAAAATTTACTTAAAAGTCTTTTAGTACTCTTTCAATCTATTATATGAGAGCATTGTTAATAATGAGTACTAATGCTGATATTATAAAAGTTAGCATGAAAACTTGCTTTGTGTTTTCTCGATTGTAAAATGTACTATATATGCTATTCATGAAACCTTGATAAAAGCTCGAGTAAAATATTGCATAGCACATTAGAAAATTAGAAATGATAGATGTAGAAAAATATTTTTGAATTATTAAAACATTTGCACATATTATTTTTTATTTTTATTTTTTTCATAATATAACTTTTATTAAACAAATTTTTAAAAAAAATAAAGAACATGTTCATGTCAGTATTATCTAAAAAAATGTATTCGTATCCTATATGTGGTAGTAAATTATACATTAACATATTATTGATTGAACTTAAATTTATATTTATTATTGTTTTAAAAACTAATAAATTAGATACTGTATATGATTGTCAATTGGTAGTAAATTTTTATTAAAATTGCTATTGAAAACTAATAAATAAAAATTATTCATTGAATTTAATATGAAAACACAAAATTAATTAACAATACAAAAATTACTTTAAAAAAATGAAAACGTTCACAAAAATAATCAAAATGAGTGATATCATTCAAGATAAGCCATCATTGATAGAATCTTTTAAAAAAATTATTTTTTCTTCTAAAAGCAACATATTATTGTTGGCACTTCCTTTTGGATTTATTGCGCATTTTTTAATTGGAATGAAATCTTAATTTTTGTAATAAACTTTCTTGCAATTATACCATTGGCCCAATTACTTGGATTTGTGACAGAACAACTTTCATGTGGAGTTGGACAAGTATTGAAATTTATTATTTTTATTAGATGTCCAGAAATCAATTCATAATTAAATTTTTATTACTTTCAATTTAAATTTAATTAAAGATCTTAGCAGCATTATTAAACATGACTTTTGGCAATACCGTAGAATTAATAATATCGATAATAGCTTTAACAAAGGGACAAATTTGCGTTGTTCAGGATTCAGTGCTTGGATCTGTACTTTCAAATATTTTGGTAGTGTTGGGGTTATGTTTTCTCTTTGGTGGTATCACCATTTTTAAAGAAGGTCGTTTAAAACAAAATTTTGATTCAACTGTAGCACAAGCAAGTTCAAGTGTGATGACTTTAGCATGCATTGCCTTAATAGTATCTGCAGTATTTAGTCTTGCTATTGATGGAAATTCTAATAATACTCTCAGTATGACTGATTCTAGGATCTTGAATTTAAGTTATAGCTCTTCAGTAGTATTATTTGTAATATATATACTTTACTTATATTTTCAGGTACTGTATCATATATTTATACACTATGCTATTGTAAATACAGATTGTATAACTAGTCAAATTATTTACATAAATAGTTAAAAACCTATAAAGATTTATTCCAAACTGAAGAAAATGATAAGCTACAGATAAGCAAGTATTTGGTACTATTTTTGCTAGTTATAGTGACAGTTGTAATAGCATTTTCTGCCGAATTTCTTGTTAGTTCAATTGAAGAAGTTGTCACGTCTCATAGTTTAAGCAAAACCTTCATTGGGTTAGTTTTACTATCTATTATTAGAAATGCTGCTGAGGTATTTTAATTTGAATACACTCACTGTCTGTTAATGTTATTTTTTAAATTTATACAATATTAAATTTATTAGCATACAACTTCTGTCAAAATTGCAATGAAGGACAGAATGGATTTTGCTATTAGCGTTGCAGTTGGCAGTTTAACAGTAAGTAAATTAATAATAAATGTATGAAAATCAGTATAATTTAAATTAATAGTTTTTATATTTTTTAGCAAATCGCATTATTTGTTACTCCTCTATTAGTGATATTAGGATGGATTATAGGTCAACCGATATCATTATTCTTTTTACCTTTTGAAACCGTATGTTTATTTATTGCAGTTTTACTCTCAAATTACTTGGTGCAGGTATATTCAATAAACAACTTAATTAAAAATATTTGCTTGATTTCTTTGACCAAACCAAATTTTTATAATGAAATTGATATTTGATTAAACATAGGGTAAATATAATTTAAATTTATTTTTAACATTAAATGCAATTAATATAATTTGAATTTGAATTTTTAGATGGAAAATCAAATTGGTTAGAGAGTGTATTGCTTATAGCGACCTATTTAATAATAGCATTGGCATTTTTTTTTTATCCTGATAATTATTAACAAATAAAAGACATATTCTGTTCTGAACAACTATATCTAATGGCACACATTTAGGTTTACTTAGTAAAATTTCGTAAAACATCGTCTGTGTCAAATTAGACACTATATCAAATTTTGAACATATTTTTTAGACAAACTAAAATGGGAGCCGGACAAAATTCTAATGAACAAAATCGCGAAAGATCAGAATCCCGAAAAGCTAATCTGAATTAGGTTGGCTTAATTCTGTGAATTTTTTTTAGATTTCGTTTTTTGGATTATGTTTTCGAGATTTTGAACTATAGATGCTAGTAAAATTAAATACCAAAATAAAAATTTGGTGAAATGGTAAAATTGGTGAAATTGGTAAATTTGTGAAATAGTGAAATCATTTCATTACCCTGATTTAATTTTACCAGCATCACTCTTTTGAACCTATTTGTCATATTGTATCGGTTTATACAATATCTAACTATATGAACTTATTTTTTGTTAAGATTTCTATGATTATATTTTAACATGACTAAACAGTTCAAATACTCGTATTAATAATCATTAACAGGATTATGCTGAACTTTTATTATAAGGAATCTTTTTGATTAACTACAAAAAAAACCTCCCTCGCATACAATAGCCAATAACAGAATTCTCAATTATGAACCGTTGCCTATTCTCTATGATTGCAAAAATCAACACACTCTAAATTTGACTAAAACATGTCTGATATCATTATAATCAAAATATCACTCTATTCATTATATATAAGAACTAACTACAATATTATTTTCCTTGTAATTTAAGATATTTAGTTACTTCTTTAATTAATTTCTCTTTTTGGGTTGAAATTTCTTTGTCTTGGATTGTCCAACTTTGTTTAGTAGATTCAGAGCTTTATTAAACATTTTTCTTCTAATACAATAACTAGCTAATCCAAATCTTACATATTCAGATTTATTTTTTTCATTTTTATATTGATTGTTAAGATTCTGAATTACTTTATCATATTCATCTTTATATAACAAAATTTTTGCTACTACTGCGCCATGATCTTTTTTTCCTCTATATTTATTTATCCAAGATTTTGCATCAGGAAGATGAAAATTTTCAGCTTCAACAATTTTCCTATAATATCTTGTTCGCAACCGACTCCAGAAAGGTAATGCAATCCTATTTTATATTTATTCTATAATTAAGGGTATCATTATCATCATCCTCAATTTCTTTATATGTATTAAAAGCTACATCATGATTGGAAGAAGCAGAAGTAGCATTAAACAACTTCATTCGAATAGTTTTAAATCTTTCTTTAGTAAGTTTTGATTGCTGATAGTTTTTTTTAGCATGCTTATATTCATGATAAATAGTATCAAAGCTTTCATCATTTAGAAGTTCCTTATTCATTATTGAAAAATAATTTCTTATATTTCCTTGATTAATTTTTTAGATTATTTAGTAAAATAATATTTACTCGACAAATTTATAATAAATTTATCATAAGAGGTCATTGCTAATAGGTACGTAATTATATTCTTTAATTTGTATAAGTTGAATCAGTATGGATATATCGATACCTGCTCTTATCAATTGAAATAAAATAATTAAATTAACAAATGTATTAATTTTTTTTTAAACAATTTAAACTATTTGGAATAATTATTTTAAATTTTGTTGCAATTCTTGTATTTTTTTTAATGAAATCAATTAAATAAATTTATTTTTAGAAAATTTATTTTTTAAAAAATAAGTTCAATTATCTAAATCAATCATATTTTTACTAAAATCTCAATTTTATTTCTTATATTATTACTATTTATATTACTAAATAATTTATTTTACTAAATCAACAAAATTTTTACTAAATTTACTCCCACTATAGTCACACAGTCTTTAGCAATATATTAATTTTTGCTTCTAGTGGGAATTTCTAGCTTTCTTGTAGAAATTTATAATAGTAATAGTACTATTAAATTTTTTTTAGTAGAGATCCAGTGGTCTTTTAGTAGCTTCTAGTTAACAACACTGGGCTACAGAAGCTTGATGTGACTATAGTGAGGAAAACATAGAAATAGTCACATTTCTTGATTATTGCAAGAGTTAATTTTATAAATGGTTAGTTTATAGCATCAAGAAATTGTGACTTTTTTGGTGTGACTATAGTGAGAGTAGATGTATCTTTAAGCCTACCTTGTGCCTTAAACTGTTGTCCAGGCAAATTTGGCTAGAAATTTTATTATCAAATTTTAATTAATATATAATTAATAAACTGCATTGTAATTAAAGTTTTAAAATGTTGTGCTATATTTGTGGCGCAGTTAAAATTCTTTAAAGTTCATTTATATTAGGGTTGGGCCAGGGCCAGATGTTGGAGAGTTAAGATATCTTAATATGAACCTTTCCAATAAGTTGACTTGACACATAAGAATATGGAAAAGAGGAGGATTTGATAATAATTTTATTACTTAATTTTTTTCACCAAATTCTTTATTAATATTAACTTTCATTAT